TTAACGCAATTAATAATTAATAATTTCTTACCAGATTAAAACGATTTTGATTTCAAAAGAAAAGTGGCGCAAAGCTTTTATAAATGTTGAAGAAACTTACCTAGAAAAGAAAAATATAAAATTTAGAATTAATAAAATTGTTAAATTTTGATTTATTCATAAAAAATTAATTTATATTTTAAATAAAATTTTCTGGCTATAGGATGCACGCTAACAAGAAAATTACTGTATTACTTAATTATTTATTGAAATAAAAGTTTTAAGTGTTATCACTAATTAAATTGAATTCTGAATTGTAATTAGTTTTTTTTTTTTGTAGTTTAATTTTAAAATTTAATTTATATTCAAAATTTTAGGCAAGATAATGTTAATGTTATATGAATTGATTTTACTGAATATTAACAGATTTTGAAACGGGAAATGCAAGAATTTCAAAAATTCTCAAATATTTTTTAGAGTAATTATATCCTCTCACTTGTAGAGATTTTCTATGTTATAAAATTTCAATATGTTTTGAATAATTCTAAAATTGAATGAATTGTACAATGTATACATGCAATTTTAAAAATCATCCACGTATAACGTCCAGGCATATAAAATTTACAAACTTTTTAAATTTTTGAGACCATTGTTTTTTTGTAATTTCTACAAATTTTGCTAATATTAAAATATAGGTTAATTTTTTTGTGATTTTTTATTTTTCATATCGATTTTCATTATATTAAAAGAAAGAAAAATAGAATAATGTCATGAGAACAGAATTCATAAAAGAATAATGTTTTTCGCCTATAAATAGGCAATGGTTAATAAATTTCAAATACATTAATGTTTTTTTTTTCCTAAAATATCATAATTTTGGAATTCTATTCAATTGGAATAACATTCTAAAAATTTATTCATGCAAACTTTTATATTGATTTATTAAAATTATTTTTGTTTTTGATCTTATTTTGATCTACTTCAATAAAATTAATGTAATCTAGTTCTCTATGCCTTATTCATTTTATTAAATTACATTACTATTGTTGTTGCTTTTATAAAATATTAAAATGTATTAATTTTCAATATTTTATTTTACATTTTCTATTTAAATCAGAATGAGAATGACATATAATATATAAATTGCATAAATTTTTAAAACTTCATAACTTATATTGACAATAAAGTAAAAATACAAGAGAAGAGCGAAGTTTATTCATTCATAGTGGTAGTAAGGGACAGTGAATTTAATGTTTATACTTTATAAATCACAATTGTAACACAAAATTTTTAAAATATTGAGAATTGCTGTTGACACAGTAAAATCGATACAAATACAAAGTCTCTCTTCAGTTTCTCTTTTTCTTCTATTCTGCAATATTTCTTTCAGTAATTTGATATTTAATAAATACCCGTAATACAAATTCAATTACTTCATTATAGATTACAGTGTTACATTTATACGATAATAACACACATTTTCGTTACAGTATTAAACAGAAATATTTTGTACTGTTCAGTAAGTTGCTTTATGCGTAAATAAGTGAATGAAAATGAGAGTATGAGCTAATAAGTTGCATATTTTTTTTTGAAAAGAGAGAATGTATGTGTTTGATTTTTAATTTTTTAATTTTACGCCTACGAAACGGAATTCACAATTATTCTGTAATTTAAAGATATGGTGAATTCTTTAATTAAAATTAGGATGAAAATAAATTCAAAATTTGCTAACAAAATATTAAGATATTTGTGCTTGCAGGAAGAAATCTAACATTGTAGACTTAAATATCTAATATTTAATTCTAGACTAAAATATTTAATAAAAACTAAAATCACATTAAATAAAAAAATATGGAAAAAATTATTAAAATCAGTACAAATTTAAAAGAATCGCAAATATTTTTACTGAAAACAAAACAATAAAAAAATAAATGCAAAAAAAAAAAACAATTTGGTACCAGTTACCATTTTCTTTTAACCAAAAAATATCAACTATTTAAACAAATATCAAAATACCTACACACCAATGAACCGAAAAATAAAAAAAATAAGTCAACAATGATGGTTACTAAACAAATGTTAGCGCGTTTTTGTATTCTAAAAAAAATTTTCTATATTTTTATAAGAATCCTTGAGTCACAAAAATACAGTATATAAAAAAATATTCGGTTTCTTATTTAAATAGGAGAGTCATAAAAAGCAAGAAAACAGAAAAATAATGAAAGACTAAGAAACAACGTTACGTGAATTTCTCGATTATTTCACATACTTTGTTGACTTGTTACAGTTAAACAAAAATTCTTGACTGACTAATTTTCTTTAATTAGCCAGTCAGACTTTAAAATAACATGAAATTTAAAAGTAAAAAATTCAAATATTTACATGTAAGCCACGAAAATGCCAAACAATATTTGAATGCCGATTCTAATGTCAATTTTATTTATTGAGCAATTAAAATTGTATTTGATATTGGGCGTTTTAATAAACCGTTTTAGTTCTTTTGCTCTTTGGTTTGTTACCGCAAAAAGCAACAAAAAGTAAAAAATTTTAAATTTTCCTACATTTGTAATTCAAATTATAAATTATGTTTCTCATTACCGGCTGTGAATTCAAAAATATTACAGTTTTGGATTGTCATTTTAAAGTGACTAATATTGCCATTTTAAGTGAAAACTCGCGACAATCACCTTTACTTATGTATATGTATGTAATATGACGACAACTGGCACTATCAATTAGTGAATAATAATTGTGTGTATATGTAAATAATAATTATGATTTGAGGATTTTATAAATTATCCAGTAATTTAGTATATCAAGATTTTTTAAGATTTTTTGTGCATTGCAATATTTTAAGGAAATTTTCTCGGGAAAATAGTAAAATACGATATTGAACCGAAAAAAAGTAAGCAATATATTTTTTTCCCATAGAGGAGATCCTCCCAAAATTTTATACAAAAATATTTTATTAGCATACTTCCATATACATAAATATATATGTATGTATTCATATACATTTATTATAAGGATATGTGGTGCATTGAAGAATATTCCAGCCATAAAAACATATTTAAAAAAAAATATTTTTACTTTTTGTATTTTTACTCCTACTTTTTTTTTATTTATTATTATTTTGTCTTTTTGTTTTTTTTTTGCCTATATAGAATAAAAATTATTTTGTTAAATCAATTTTCTCTTCATGTCAAGGGAAATAATAATATTTTGTGTATTCTATCTATGCAAAACACACATATAAAGTTATTATAAACTGTTATCTAAATTTTACTTATATAATTTCAGTATACTATAGGCATACATATAGATTACGAGTATTAAATAATATGGGAAATAAATTGAAATATAGAATAAAATTAAATAACAATTTTATTTTTTTGAAATTCGATATATGTGACAACAATGGTTTTTCTATATTTCTTAAAAATTAAGAAGCCGAAAAAGCAAACAGAAAATATAGATAAAATTTTTAAAAATTCTTACTTATTTAATTCTGCTTTAACTAACACATATGATTTATGTGAATGAGTAAAGGACCAAATACAATTTTTTAAGAAATGCATGAATTGCTTGTAATGAGAATTAATAATGTATAGACCATAGAATAAATTAAAGACTATTTAAAATTATAAGATCTAGATGACACTTATTGAAAAATATTACTGTAAATGAGCAAGCTAATATAATTCGGTTCCAATTTTACATCAGCAGGGCCCTAATTATGTATTTCGATTTTCGAGAGAGATTTTCTTATTTGCAGAAATGGAATGGTAGTACAATACAAATTGATTGGTGCCACCATATTATTTCTGCAAATACGAAAATCGTTTTACGAAAATCGAATTACATAATAAAAGACCAGGTATTCAAAAATTTCGGAAAAATATTTTTAATTTTTAAATTTAAAGACATATGTAGATGACACATTTTATCTTTAAAACTAACTATTTTCGAATTAAATTAAGTATTTTCAAGACGTAGAAAACAAGAGAAATTTTCCTCATTTCATATTTTTAATTGGGCATATTTAGTTTCCCTATTAATTTTAACTTGCGTTTTCAATTACAAATAATTAGCTTCTAAGAACATAAATTTTTTGCCTCAAGAATTAATCTTGAAAAAAAATCTTCTATAATTTCATTAAAAATCATTCTTTTTAGTTTCAGTCAAATTTTAAGAATTAAAATAATAAATTTCTAATAAGACATTAAAATATCAAATCCTCTTATAATATAATCAAAAAAAATATCCTATTTAGAGCGTGTATATATATTTTTTTACTCATATTTAGTTTAATATTTTTCACAAATTGGCAAAATTAAAATTTTGCCTGCTTTTAGCGGCTTCTATTCCCTGTTTTGCTCATTACTGCTATAATGTTATTAAATTTAAAAAGTGATTTGTTACACAATGTTGTATTGTTTGTCTTACTATATAGAATTTCACCATATTGGAATGAGAAGAAGAATAAAGCAAATTGAAATTGATTTATTCACAAAATCCTTGAGATTTTCTTTTCATAACGCAAAAAAAAAAAAACAAACCTTCTCTATGGTGTACAAATAAAATTAAATTGTAATAAAAGAAGAAAATAAGTGAAGAAAAAAAGAATAAGAAGAAAATGAGAATAAATGAACAAAAAAAAAAAATACAAAAGAAATATGATTGATTATCCTTATTATCCTTAATGTAAAAATGTTTTATATGTTTTGGAATAGTTTGCAGCTATTTTTCTACCGAACTTTTTCAGTATTTTTTGTTTCTTTTTCACCAACTGCATTGCATAAAATAAGGAAGGTTAAGGGATGGCATAAAATTTCATATATCGAGTCTTACACAGAACCATTCCTGAATGGTAGGGAATTATAAATAAACCAGACATATAGTTTTCTTACTATTCGAAAAAATCTTGGGTAGATCTTCCTCTAAACTAGTGAACACATTTAGCGATCGGCTATGTGTTGACCATTACCAAGCATTTTTTTTTTTTGATTATATTTTCTTACCTCTTTTTTGTTTTTCCAACATTGTAGAGTTCTACATGCTTAAATGCTGCATAAGTTGCCATCTTTTTGCTTCCAATTTTGTTGCCTTTTTACTTCCTTTCTTGGTTTTTATAAACTTTTTTTGATTTTATTTTTGCACTTTTTGTTCTTTTTGCTTTTTTTTTTTTTTATTTTTTATTTAAGAAAATTTTCTTTTTCAAAAATTTTCAAACAAAAATTAAAAAGGATTATTTTTATTTTTATTCCAAATTTCCTTTAAATTTCACACAAAAAAATTGTGAAAAAATATTCCGACAAGAAGCGTAAGAAAAAGACTATATTTCAACTGTACACACAATTTGATATAATCTGGAAATATTCCCGAAACTTTTTGGTATCCTATATATAGATATTTTGTAGAATATGTTAAATGATATTCTGTGAATACAAAAAGAAAATGACGGAATTGATAATGAAAATGTTTTCATATTCTAAATTGAGAGATTAAAAGTGATAATTGTTTAGATTCAAATTTAATGCCCAGCTTTTACTCAAATTAAATTAGTTAAATTATTTTCAGAGAATTATTTAAAATATATTCCAAAGAAATGAGATTAACGGGGAACTGATTAACTACAAATCAACTTGAATTTTGTGAAAATCACTATGCTACCATTAACATTAATGTTCACTGAAAAAAAATTCATACTGCGATAATCAAAATGCACATTTCTGAAGGCAATTTTTTTTAATTTGAAATTTAAGGGAAGAATTATTATTCATTTTAAAATTCTATTTTAGCCATATTTTTGAAAAAAGATTAAAATTGATGGAAGAGTGTTGTCTGTATAACATAAATTTTCTGAATTACAAATTCCCGAAAGAATATGAGATGGTTATAACAGTCTGGCGTACTTCTAATATAACCACATTTCTATTGACAGTAATAGATATTTTTTATCCTCATACACTGTTGTGCTATATGAAAAATCAAAATTCAAAAATTTTAATGAAAGCTGTGCCTATAAAAAACTTTTGAATTATAAAAATTTCAATTGAATTTCCTCAAATTAGTTAAGATCTTTATTAATTATAATTAAAAGTTAAAATTCAGACTTAACTGAAGTGTGGACAACAACCAGATATTTATTTTTTTTTTTAATTTAGCCTTCAATAAAATGGACACGATTCCTATATTATAATAACGTTCTCATTAATTTTCTAATTCCTCGTTTAAATTTTAAAGATGTACATGAATATTATTGCACTCTCAAAGTAACTTCATTATGATTACACCACCTACATACTAATTTAAAATCTTAATTTGGAACCTCATAATCGAATTGAAATTATAAAATTTTCATATTTAAACAATTATCACTTTTAATCCTTTTGATTCTGTTTTTTTTTTCTTTTCCACACGTGATGGTTTTTCATCTTATATTCAAAAATTATTTTGAATTCATTTTTAATAATTTGTGTATATTGCAAAAAAAAAAATAATAAAATCCTACATTTGCAAATCACATTTAAATACCAAAGGACATAGACGAAAACATACACACGCATTCAAGCATGAATGCGCATTTATATACACTAATGTGTATGCATATGTGTGTATTTAATTATTGTAATAAATTTTAATTATAATAAAAGTGCCATTTTTATTTATACATGAAAAGTCAAATAGTAAGAGTTTCTGCATTATGATGGTCATTAAAAAAATAAAATCATGCATAAAAGAGAAAAATTATTTATTTTTTGTTTATTTACACTTTATTTATTTAAAATTGAAGTTCAAGGATCACATATATTTCACACATATACACACACACTCACTCGTATATAATCGAAACAACATGAGCATCAAAAGAAAAAAAATATTCTTATTTATTTAAATTTTTTTATTTAAATTATAAAAGTGCATAACTAAACAGATTTCGAAGAATAAAATGAGCAAAAAAAAAACTAATAAAATTGACCATTATAATTAGGAAAAGAAAATTGAAAATGCAAATAAAATCAAACAAATACACAGAGAGAAAAATTTAATATTATTGACAATGTTGAATTAAGAAGCAGTTAGACAGACATTCGTATATGAAAAAATTTGTTTGTACATATAAATGTTATTGTGCTAAAATTGTTATAATATATTTCAAATTTGTATAACACATAATTCTTACAAAATAGTCAAAAATTTTGTAATTATAAATGTCAAATCAACGGTTGCGAAGCAAAAAATAATGCCTGAATCAGATTTTGTAGCTCTTAATTTTATTTCATATTATAATTTTTAACATTTTATTCTGGTATAATTAGTGTATTCCCAGTCTATTTTGTGGAACTATCGTATATTGTAGGAAAACTATATGAGGCTAGAATTTCTTTTAAAAAATTAATTTTCTTTTACAAATTAATTGGAAGACTAAATACATGTACCTTAAATAATTACCGAAAATTTATCGAACACATTTACAAAATCAAATATTTTTTCTGAATTATTATAGATCAAAATATTGACTTTAAATTATACTTGAGACACAAGTCTTTCTTTATTAAAACCCCAAAAAAATATTTTATTTTAAATTTAATAGAATGAAATTTATTTTGTTAAAAATCACACGTGTATTATTTGATTTTATTTGAAAATTTGTATAGGTATATGTAAAATCTGTTTCCAAGATTAATATTGAACTGTCATGTTCCTCAGAATTCAATAATAAATTAGAACAAATTTTTTTGGTTCTAAATGAATTAAATGAATTAAATAATAATTTTTTTAATAGTGTATTGTTATAAATTTTTAATTGTATATATAAAATTTTGCTTTTGTGGTTATAATTGTAAGTTGTGTCACGATTAAATTATTGATAATTTATTGAATTTTGCGGTTAAAATTCTATGCTATTGTAGAACAGTACCAAAATATATAAAATATTTTTTGTGAAGAAATTACAAGATAAAGAGGATATGAAATCGATTTTTAATTAAAATATAAAATGAGGGATAGTGTAAATATGCCAACAAAAATAAAGAATACCAAAATTTGATTTTGTTTCATATATTCGTGCCTCTCTGAGACAGCACTTCCGTGCCTTCGTTCACGCAATATAGACAAAGAAACACGATAGAGTAAAACTTATGATTATAGTCAGTTTGATTAGTTTTAGGAGTTTATGATTATTCAGGTGCATTTCCAGTTTTTAACCCAACCTATTTATAGGTTAATCCCATTATTAACAGGTCTGACGACAGTTTGGGTCCGTTAATTTTTGTCTCTCGATGATTTTTACAACATGTGTTAAAAATGTATTAAACAACTGGGGACAAATTTTTTTTGTCCCATGATTCATTTCATTAAAAAGCCTGGAAATTTTAATTTTTACAGCAAAAATTTTTCCTTTTCTTATTTTATTAACCAAGTTTCCTTAGATTTTAATAGGCGAAATCTTCCCTCTAGTATTCTTTAAAGTACTGAAATCTTTAAAGAACCAATAAGAGAATGAGGATATTCTTTAATTTTCTTAAATTTAAAATCAAATGGAAATTCTGTTTTGGATACCATGCTAGTAGTTTTATCTTGATACAAAAATATCAAATTCTGGCAATTCCCCAATTTTATAAACAATGAGAAAATTTTATATTTTTATAAAAACCTCTTCCGTACAATAAAAAAACAAACCAGAAACATTGAAAATAAATTTTAATAAGAACAAGGAATTTAAAAAAAAAATTTAAAAAGAAAAATTTTAAAAATAATTGTAACACATACTGTAATACATACATACATTCTTGAGCATGGTACAAAAAAAATAGAAAGAAAAGCTTCTATTATAGAAAAATCATAAATTCATTTAAAAAAAAAATACGCACCTAAATTTTAAAATTCTATTGTTTTTTATAATATAAAATTTTCATATATGAAAAAAAAAAAAAAATGAAAAATGAAAAACAATGCCATATTGTTTTCATATTTCTAAAACGAAAAAAAAAAAATTCTATAAAACACAGTAAAAAAATTTATAATTAAATTTTCAGAATAATTTCATATTTTTAATTGTTTTCCCGTAAAACAAAAAGTTTTTCAATTCAAAAATTCAATTATGAAATTTAATATTTTTTTTTATTAAACAGTGTTGCTCGATTCACCAAAAAATCCTCGGCAATTTAACAAAAGTTGATTAATATCTACAAAATTAATAAAAAAAAAAATTTGATCAATTCTAAAAATAAATGTTCTCATTCAATGTTAAATTTAATATTGTATTCAAAACTAATTTTAACTGCACTTTTTATATATACGAATTGTATAACAGTTTTGATTTATAAAATCAATAAAATTAAAAATAATCGATTATGTCAATTTATTAATTCTATTTTTGAAAGCGATAATTAAAATTCGTGTTTTGAAATGCTCATTTCTAATCTTTTTGCAAGATTTGTTTATTCCTTATCAGAAACCTAAAATTCAGAGAGGCCACAATGCCATCTGTAATAATTTGATTGCATTAAATCTCTGATATCTTTTAAAATTTAAAAATTTATTCATTAATGCTGCTAACTGCATTATTATTTCAAAAGTGAAAATGTTGCCAATATTGTTGATGACACCACTATTGGGGATCCTCTTAATTTATATATGCAGCAAACAATTGATATAATTAATCTTATATTAATTGCCACAGATTTAATACCATTTATTTTGTTTTCCTTTGGTGGCATTACTGTAATTATACTGTTGTACTAAACAGTCCTAATCTACATTATTTTATAATTGTTCACATACTTATGTACATAGTTCAATTTTGATTTAAAGATTTTGATTTTACTCCTGAAATTATGCAATCTTTTTATATTAAATAAACCACAGGGATTAATGAAAATTCTGAACATTCAATTTAAACGTGACAAATTGTAAAATAGGCGAATGTTATTTTTCATCGAGATGCAATTTCTACATCGATACTAATTTGAATTTATAAATAAATTGAAATTAACAAGTACAGATGAAATTCAGTAGAGATGAATGTATTTTATTGATATTAAATCGCGATGTAACAATTTGAGAGCATTTCAAAGTGATTTCAGTTGCCAACAATTAGAAATCCAACTTGATTATATTAACGTTAACCCATATTTCTATGTAAATTTCTTAATTTTGTTATTTTAAACCCTTACCAATTTGGGTCTAATTATAATTAACTTAAAAAAAGTGAGTTAACAATAATGTATACTTTGTACATTTTTAAATACCGCAATCTTGTTAATAATTCCATTACTATGAAAAATATGTATTTTGTATATCCGAAATTTAATTAAAAAAAAAATTCCAGATATAAGGATGAAAAAAAAGTACTAAAACATTCATGAACGCGGTTTATAAAAAATTTTTTTTTTGTTTTTTGCTCAAAAAATTTAAGAAAATTTTTAATAAT